TTCTTCTTCTTCTTCTTCTTCTTCTTCTTCTTCTTCTTCTTCTTCTTCTTCTTCTTCTTTTTTTTCAAATCACAAGCCGACAATTTCAATAAGAAATTGCGCCATGCCCCACGTTGGGCACCATTTGTGGACGGACCCAGACGCAGACCAATATGATCAATGCTGAAGCCACTTTGTTAAAATACTTAAACCATTATATACTTTTTACTACAACATGGGCCAGCTCTGCGGCTTGTGCTTATTGGTTTCTAGACTTATATACACAAACTATTATTGGTTAAATGTGGCTGTAACTTATTATCTACACTTTGTTACTATTTCTGACAAGTCAGTCTTTTAATTAATACACATTCTGCATCTGTTGGGGAGTAGCAGTAGTTTCAGTGTCAGTGCATGATTTCCTCTTTCATGTTGACCTTCAGTACGTGTCCATTGTTTTCCAAGAAGTTTCCCACACTCCTCCACCTTGGGCAAGCTGCGTCCTCATGGTTGGAGTCAGGTGGAGATGAACTTTTTCCTGCCTGTACTGCACATCACTGAGTGGGCCCTGGCCTACTGCTGTCTCTGGGTACCCGTGATCCCCTTTTGCTGAGTCAAACTGGAGGCTGTGGTGCCAGAATGGCTGCACAGATAGGACAGAACTCCCAAAGGGTCTTTACCTTTGGAAGGATCACTGTTCATCTGGTCTTGTTCATGCTCTGACCCTCAACATCCTTTGCCCCCGCCTTGCAGCCCTGGCCAGCCTCCAGAAGAAATATTTAAATTTGTTGTGATCACAGCTACGGTTGGGTTTCTGAGTGGGCCTTGAGTCTCACTCTAGATAGTAGGGAAACCATGGCTTGCTCTGCACAATAACTCAGTGTTAATGAAAATTTGCAACTGGCCTGTGCCAACTGAGGAGAGAGGTCAGGAAACAAAAGTATAGAATTACAAGGGTACTTATCCACAGTCATGAGGTGACCCAGTCAAACTGGGGCATGAATGAATGTGGTTTTACACGGGGTTCTTATACTGTTCAAATGTTCAGGTACAACACAATTTGACTGATCACAACACCCATGGTACTGATTACTAGTCATAGTAAAATTTTGCAAAGCAACTGTATTTCTGCAGCATTCTTGCTGCTTGTTTATTGATGCATATGTCCCTGGAGTCAGTCTTATTAGAGTTTCTGATCTCCAGATGGCACTGGGATAGCTGGACGATGCTGGGAGGGTTTCAGGAGTTGTCCAGGGTTGTCCTTTTTCCTTCATGGACAGCTCTAAGCCTCCAAGAAGCAAAGCCCTTATTTCCAGGGCTGGGCTGTCCTTTGGTTTGTTTTATTGAAGCGTGAACAATACCAAAATCTCCAGTAAAATTCCACTACCTCATCCCATTGCAGTGACCTAAAGTATGTATTAACAAAGTTAATTTTCATACTGTCAAGACTGATTGATACAATACTTAGGAAATTTCCCTGACATCAGTCCCTACACCTTTGCACCTGAGCATCAAGGAGAGGTTTCTGGGCAGTGCAGGGCAGCCAGCACCAACGCACAGCGGGGTTCCCCCTCGCCTGCCGCCGACACCGCCCGGTCCCGACGGCAGCTCCCCAGGGCCCGCGGGAGCAGCGCACCCACCAGGGCTACCCCGGGGACCCTCCTTGCCGGGCCTCCCCTCACACGAGGCCTTCCTACTCCTGCGGGCTCCTGACTGGGACGCCGACCGGGGCGACCGTCTTACCTCCTCCCGATTCCCCCCGGGGAAGGGCGCCCGCCCTGCCCCCTCCGCGGC